CTATTGTAAGTTTTGCAACTGCTAGCAAACTTTGAATACCAAACTGATTATATGATACTGGACTGTGTTATTTGGATTATCCCTTAACTGAAAGACATTGATGACGGACTGTCTTGTCCGTGTATGACTTGGACTGTTTGATGGACTCTGATACCTCTATTTCCGCGAAAATAAAAACCTATTTAAACTGCAGTGTCTCTGTATGCTGGTTTGTGTGCTCTCCAACACAACTCTGAACGCACTCATTCTCCCAATGGGGAGCTTACCTAACAGGTGCTAACTTCCTACAGAATGATACGATTGTGCGTCCTGCAAAAGCAGCATGGGGGATTGCCTTCCGGCTGCTTCACATCCCTAGGAGGTATCCTCACCAATTCCATGCTATGGGTGCTGTGTTCTGCGTTCGAGCAGAGTGTGCAGCACCCTGCACTGAATCTGGCCTTGGTATCTCTTTCGGCTTTATGGCTGCTTCAGACAGATTCTTGTCTAATGGATTTTCCGCTCGAGATCCGGTTTCCGCAACATTTTATTGCAGAGTTTTAACATCAGAGTATTTTTCAAGCAGGCATAAATTCTCGTTCATCCCACTTTAAGGATTTTAATTGCGGCAGAGTCTGCTTCACATATTCATTTCACCCTGTGCAAACTTTGGGCTCAGGCTGGAAGTTAGCAATTTCAATCCAGGTCCAAATTGGGAAGAGGGGGGGAGGTGGCAAATTGTTGAGAAAAGGGCCCAGGCAGCTCCAAACACCATCCGTGGGAGACGTGGCCAAGTAGGACGTTGACCTTTGGTGATTTGAGGCTGTCTGGTAGCGATTTGTCCACGTATTTTCCTGCTTATAAGGCATTCGCCTATAGCGACTTAACCATATGGAGAGCAGTCGGATTTTTGGCTCCGGAGAGAGGCAAAGCAAGAGGCAGCCAAAGAATTTGGGGAGAAGTACTTAGAAAAAGCCTCTCCAGAATTCTTTTTTTTCCTGTGGGTGGAAATAAGACGTAAGACAGGCGTCCTGCAAGAGGCAGAAAAGGGGCCTTGAAGCAGCCAAGCGTCTGGGCCCACCGAAACTGAGAGCGTGAGAAAGAGAGGAGGGCGGGCAGGCAGAGACCCAGCCCCTCCCCTGATGACTGGGAGCCAGTCCCCCCCCCCACTTGAGCAGGCAGCCTCTGCACATGTGAGCAGCAGCCCTGGTGAAAAGAGGAACTAGGATGTTGTGTAGCGTCCAATTGCAAGCCCCAGGCGGAGGGTAAGTCGACACACCTTCCCAAGGCCTGCAGAGGCGAAAGAAACATTGACAGTTGGGATCTCCGCTTCTTTCAATCAGAGTAGAGCTGGAAGGGACCTTGGAGGTCTTCTAGTCCAACCCTTTGCTCAAGCAGGAGACCGGGGACTGTCCAGTCTTTTCTTAAAATCCTCCACTGATGGAGCACAACTAGTTACACCGGTTCATTGTCCTCCCTGTTAATTCCAGGTTGTTTCTCTCTTTGATTGGTTTCCATCCATTGTTTCTTCTTTTGCCTTCTGGTACTTGACCCCCTCTTCTGTGTGGCAGCCCCTCAAATACTGGAACCCTGCTATCATGCCCCACACCACCCCCTTGTCCTTCTTTTCTCTAGACAAGCCATGCTCCAATCCTGCAACTGTTCTTCGTATGTTTTAGTCTCCAGGCCTTTGATAATCGTAAATGCTCTTCTCTGCACTTTTTCTAAACTCAGCTGGAAACCTCTGCTCTTGAGTGTAGTGGGAAGAGGCTCCTCCTGTCCTCTTCCACCATTGCTTTTCTCATTTTTTTCTTTGGGGTGTGTATGCCCACCTTCATCCTTTGTTCACCCCCCCTCCCTTTTTCCAACAGTGGTTAAATTCTGTCAATGAGACCATCATGCTGGGCATCATCTACACTTCGCATTGCCTTGACTCAAAAATCTCAGGCCCAGAGATGGGTTGCCCGTATTTTTTACTACCGGTTTGGGCATGCTCCCGCGAGTGCGCATGCACAGAAGCATCCGGGCAGGTGGGCAGAGCCTCCTGCCACCGCTACTACTGGTCCAGCCGATCCAGGCTGAACCGGCATCAACCCACCTCTGCTCAGGCCCCGTTCCTCTCTTGGGTTCTTTATCAATTGTATCGGCCTGGCTGGGGATGATGGGGCTTGATGTCTTGGCCCTCTGGAGGGTGTCAACTCAAAGAGCTCGGGGCGGGGGATGCTTTTCTCTCAGTTTTGTCCAATTCTTGTGTTTCCCCCATGCTTTGTAGGAGCTTTGTAGTTCATTGAGACCTCTCCCCTTGGTGGTCTTCTCTTACATCCTTTTTGGGCTCACAGCTCTTGCTTGAAAAGCAGCTGTGACTGAGAACACTTTAGCAAAGGACCATCTCCTGCCCCCATTATGACCATTCTTGCATCAGGAGGACCTTCCGATTCGTGCCTTAGACATCTCAAAGCTTGACTACTGCTACACATTCTCCTTCTCCTCCTTCTGCTTCCCCTTCCTCCTCCTCCTCTTCTTCTTCTCCTCCTCCTCCTTCTTCTCCTTCCCCTTCCTCCTCCTCTTCTTCTTCTCCTTCTTCTCCTTCTCCTCCTTCCTCCTCTTTTTCTTCTCTTTCTCCTTCCTCCTCCTCCTCTCCTTCTTCCCCTTCCCCTTCGCCTCCTCTCCTCCTCCTCCTCCTCCTCCTCCTTCTTCTCCTTCCCCTTCCTCCTCCTCTTCTTCTTCTCCTTCTTCTCCTTCTCCTCCTTCCTCCTCTTTTTCTTCTCTTTCTCCTTCCTCCTCCTCCTCTCCTTCTTCCCCTTCCCCTTCGCCTCCTCTCCTCCTCCTCCTCCTCCTTCTTCTCCTTCCCCTTCCTCCTCCTCTTCTTCTTCTCCTTCTTCTCCTTCTTCTTCTCCTTCTCTTTCTCATCCTCTTCCTTCTCCTTCCTCTTTCTCTTCTTCTCCTTCTTCTCCTTCTCCTCCTTCTTCCCCTTCTCCTCCTCCTCCTCTTCTTCTTCTCCTTCTTCTCCTTCTCCTCTTTCTTCTTCTTCTTCTCCTTCCCCTTCCCCTCCCCTTCCTCCTTCTCCTCCTCCTCCTCCTCTCTTCCTAGTTTATTCCTGCAGGTGCAGGGACTGCTTTTTAGATCATTGAGTGCCACTTTGGGTCAGGCCCACAGCTTACATACCTTTGTTGATGGTGTCTTGCCATCTTTGTTTTGAATGCCCGCGAGGTCGCTGGCCATTGATTTCTAGTTGGTAGGCAGTCGAATGGTGTCATTTCTGATGTGGTCAAGAAGGGAGATGCCCGATATCCAATGGAGCCTTCACATTTCCATGGCATGGAGAGAGCTTTCAGTCCACGCTGTTGCTGCCCAGCATTCAGTGCCATACAGTGCAACAGGGTGGACGGTTGTCTTGTAAATCTTAGTTTTAAGATGGGTTGGCATTCATCTAACACATAACACACTGGTGAGTTGTTGCCAATGTATCCAGGCTGCATTTACCCTTGCCCACACCTTGCCATTCATGTCGCCATTGCCTTGGAGGTGGGATCCCAGATACCCAAAAATGTCCACCTTCTTTAGGTTTTCTCCATTGGTTTGAAGCGTTCATCAAAGATCCATCCTGGGAATAAGGAGGAATTTCCTGATTGTGAGAACAATTAATCAATGGAACAAAAGTTGCCTCTCAGAGTTGTGGGTTCTTTACCACTCGAGGTTTTCAAAAATAGACTGGGCCACAATTTGACTGGGCTGGTGTAAGATCCCCTGCCTTGGGCACAGGGGTGGACTAGAAGACCTCCACAGTCCTTTCCAGCCTTCTATGTTGTATGAAGAGTGTAGGCTTGCTCTCCCTAGGTGGAATAGGCTCCAATGTCTGAGGGTGAAAGAAGCTTCCAACCAATTGAAAAAACATCTATTTGGGGGGCATATACCAGGAGCGGGGGGTGTCTGCCTTCTGCAGGGGTGGACAGGTGTAGAAAATTGTGTCACCCCCCCCCCTCAAACGTTAACCTTTGGGTGGACTCTCTGCTCTGCTCCATGGTTTACAATCCATTTCCCCTTTGCATTTTTCTCTGTTTATATGAAGCTGGATGCAATTATTGTCTCTCTTGTTTTGTTCTTTTCTTAGATTTTCTTTTTTAAAAAAACTCTCCACTTCTGAGAATCTTCTTCCTACAATTTCTGGGCAAAAGTCCAAGTCGAATGGAAAAATGGCACGAGGTCACTGCATATTCGGCGGCTGCTGTTGCCTCCGCTACCAGCTTGTTCGCCAGGGTGCATTGCCAAAACAGACAGAATGCAGCTCGCCTTCATTTAAGGAGGAGGAAGAATCGACTAGCTTTCAATTTTGGGGGGAGTCTTTCTCCAGTTAGGAGTTCTGGGAAGCTGAGTGAATACGAGACAGACCACTAGATAGCGGGTCTTAATCAGGGTTGAGGAACCAGTAGCCATCTTGGCATTCCTGAACCACAAGTCCCAGCAGGCTCAGCTGGCTGGGCTGCAGGGAGGGATGCTGAGAGTTGAGGTTGAGCAACATCTGTGGGCCCTCACATTCCTTATCCCCAGTTTCCATTAACTGCCAGATGTTGGATTCTTAATGCAATTCTCAAACAATACTCTCTAAAAGTCTCCAAAACTTTCCCATCCAGGAAAGTCCAAATGAAAACTCCCAATGTTGTGCCTTGCGAAATAATTCACGTTGTCTTCTTCTCTTATTTTCAGGTAGGCTTCTCCATTCTCCAGTTGCCATGATAACTGGGAACTGTTAAGGCAGACCACTGGAAGGAAGACTGTAGCCATCCTGAGACATCCAGAAAGCATCTCCTGCTGTTGAAGTTGCAACATCTCCTGTTTTCTAACTTCTGCTTGGGTCTCCTGCTCCCATTCAGGGGAATTCTGGACAGAACGCTAGGAGACCTGTGACATCTGAGGAGTTCCCTGAGGGATTCCTTGGGACAAACCACTGGGGATCTCATGGCAGTGTGGACACTTTCATCCCCCACCTGTTGACAGGAGATGTTTCCACCACCTGGAGCAAAATGAGCCACAGCACCAATTCTCACCTGGCTGATTCTCCTCGGCTCTCCAAGAGGAGCTTACTCAGCATCCTTGGGAGCCCGCAGCCTGAAAGGATGAGCTTGTCGGACTCCATGTCTCCTACCCCAAAGAGTGGCACTCCTTCCCCTGGCCCATCGCAGCTGCCCCTGTTGAATTCCACCTGCCACGACAGCGACTGGGAGAGCCGGGAAGAGTTGCGCCTGCGAGAGCTTGAAGAAGCCCGGGCTCGAGCTGCCCAGATGGAGAAGACCATGCGCTGGTGGTCCGACTGCACCGCCAACTGGCGGGAGAAGTGGAGCAAGGTCCGCGCGGAGCGTAACAAGGCCCGGGAGGAGGTGCGCCAGCTGCGCCAGAAGCTGGAGACCTTGAGCAAGGAACTGACCAGCCTGAAGCGGGAGAAACAGGAGGCCCTCAATGAGAACCAGCAGCTGGGCAAGGAGGTCGCCCGCCTGAAAGGAGAAGAGAAGGAAGAAGAGAAGGAGAAAGAGATGGACAACCGCATTGTCTCCGAGAAGGAGAGCGAGGCGTCTCCGGAACAGGAACCAGTGCGGGATGTGGGCTCTGAGAAGGAGGTGAAAAATAAGGTGAACAGCGTAGCCACGATTTTATTTTATGTTTTGCAACATGGACTCTGTTAACACATGGCCTCACCTCTGCAACACTGGCCTCACCTCCCAAAGGTGCTTTTTTCCCCAGAGGCAACTGGACTTTCTTGTTTTTAATTTTGAAGACGTTTCACTTCTCATCCAAGAAGCTTCTTTGGCTTTGACTGGATGGTGGGGAATGGAAGGATTTATCCTCTTTGCAGACAGCTGGTCATTTGCATCTTTTTAGAGTGTCATTAAGGCCACCTGGAGATGTATCAGTGTCCTCAGGGTCACCTGAATGGTACAAATGGTTCCTGTTGTCTGCAATTTTTTCCCTATGGAAATCCATTCTTATTCCTGCACCATTCCAAGGGTCTTCATCCCAAATTCTACAGCTAAAAGTCTTTAGAGATTCCCAGTCATCTGGGTCATGGTTGTCTCAAAAGGTGCTTTTCCAGGAGGCAACTGAACGTTTTTATCTTTTTGCTTTGAAGATGTTTTGCTTCTTATCCAAGAAGCTTCTTTGGCTTTGACTGGATGGAGGGGAATGGAAGGATTTATCCTCTTTGCAGACAGCTGGTCATTTGCATCTTTTTAGAGTGTCATTAAGGCCACCTGGAGATGTATCAGTGTCCTCAGGGTCACCTGAATGGTACAAATGGTTCCTGTTGTCTGCAATTTTTTCCCTATGGAAATCCATTCTTATTCCTGCACCATTCCAAGGGTCTTCATCCCAAATTCTACAGCTAAAAGTCTTTAGAGATTCCCAGTCATCTGGGTCATGGTTGTCTCAAAAGGTGCTTTTCCAGGAGGCAACTGAACGTTTTTATCTTTTTGCTTTGAAGATGTTTTGCTTCTTATCCAAGAAGCTTCTTCAGACTTTTACCTATACAATTTGGGATGAACACCCTTTGAATGACGTGGGAGTAGGAATGGATTTCCAGAAGAAGAAGAAACTGCAGACCACAGGAACCATTTGCACCACTCAGATGACCCTTTAGGACACAGATAAACCTCCAAGTGGCCTCAAGGACCCTCTAAAAGGATGCAAATGATGAGCTGTCTGCAAGGAATATAAATCCTTC